TTTTTTGCTGTAGTTGAGACAGTCTCACTCCGTCATCCAGGCTGGAGTGCAATGGCTCCATCTCCACTCACTGCAACCCTTGCTTCTTGGGCTCAAGTGATTCTCATGCCTCAGCCTCCCAAGTAGCTAGGATTACAGGCATGTGCCACCACGCACAGCTAATTTTTGTATTTTTAGTATACACATGTTTTCGCCATGTTGGCCAGGCTGGTCTTGAACTCCTGACCTCAAGTGACCTGCCCACCTCGGCCTCTCAAAGTGCTGGGATTACAGGTGTAAGCCACCATGCCTGGCCAGGGTCTTCTTTTAAGGCATCAAAGCCTAAATAACTTAGAAAGTGTTAATGAACATGATATTAATGAATACTCTATCAGAGCACTAAGGACTGAAGGCTACTGTCACCCACTAAATTCATATGTTGAAGATCTCCAGTGTGATGGCATTTCAAACTGGAACCTTCATAAATGGGATTAGTACCTTTACAATAAGAAACATGGGAGAGACAGTATATCTTTACACCATGTGAGGATATAGCAAGAAGGCATCCATCTTATAAACCATGAGGAAGAATCAGCTAGCACCTTGGAACCTCATCAGGAACTTAACTAGCCAGCACCTTTATCTTGGACTTCCCTGTCTCCAGAACTGTGAGAAATGTATTTGTCTGAAGCACCCAGTTTACGGTATTTGGTTATAACAGCCAAGGTGACTAAGATAGTTGGTACCAAGAAGTAAGGTGCTGCTATAACCAATACACAAAGATGCGGAAGCAGCTTTGAAGTTAGGTAACAGATAGAAGCTGGAAGAGTTTTGAGGTACATGCTAGAAAAAGCCAATATTGCCATGAAGGGATTGACAGAGTTGATTTTAATGAGGGCTCAAAGAAAACAGGGTGGGAAAGAAAGCCTCCATCTTCTTAGAGAATACATAAATCACCACAAAATAGAATGTTGGTAGACGTAGACAATAAAGGCCATGCTGATGACGTCTCAAATGAAAATAAGGAACCTCTTATGGGAAATTGAAAGAAAGATGATCTTTGTTATATGTGCCAAAGAACTTAGATGATTGTGTTCATGTTCTAGTGTTTTGTGGAAGTTACAATGTTGAGCCATGAAATTCGATATTGAACTGAAGAGATCTCCAGCCAGTGTTGAAAGAGTGCCTTGGACTGCTTAAAGTAAAAATTGAAACATGACACACTTGTTAACCAAAATGGAACCAGAACTTAAAGGTTTGGGAAATTATCAGTCTGTCTGCATTACAAAAAGATAAAACTTGTTTGGAAGAGAACACTAACGGTGTAGCAGACAAATCATCCACTTAGACTTCTGTGGGTGCGAACCACAGACCTAATCAGCCATCCCAGCAGGAACACTGCCAGTTTTATTAAAAGAATGGAGATGGGACAAAATGAAGGAAGGCTGTTGGATCTGGGAGCATAGAGCTATTCAGCTGTGAATGTACACTGTTCTTCAAGACAAGGAAAGACTGACCTTGAAAGGTGATTCAGAGAACATCAGGTGTACCTCCTCAGTTTCAGAAGGGGCAGTCATTGCAGTGGTTTTTCAACAGGCCTGACAGCTTCTGCCTGGTGACATAGGGGTCGTCCTCCTCCGACATTGTCCTGGGGGCAATACTTCTGCCTCATTGGTTCCTGAAGCCAGAACATCAAGCCAAAGAGGATTATTCCCAAGCCTGAACATCTCATGGTGTTTGCCTTGCTAGGTTTTGGACTTGTTGGGGACCCATTACACCTTCCTTCTGTCCCGTTTCTTGCTTTGGGAATGGGAACGTCCATCCTTTGTGTGGCCCACCATTGTATTTTTGGAAGCACATAACTTGTTTCATTTCACAGTTTCACAGCTATAAAGGAATTTTGCCTCAGGATGAATTGTACCTTGAATCTCACCCACATCTGATTTAGATGAGACTTTGGACTTTAGAGTTGATGCAGGAATGAGTTAAGAATTTTGAGGCTGTTGAGATGGAATGTATGTATTTTGCATGTGAGAAGGACATTAATTTTGTAAGGCCAGCTGCAGAATGCTATGGACTGAATCTTTGTGTTCCCCCAAAATTCATGTGGTAAGCCCTAACCTCCAATATGATGGTATTTGGGGGTGGGGTCATTGGGAGGTAATTAGGTCATGAGGGTGGAGTCCTTATGAATGGGATTATTGCCACTGTAAAAGACACAAGAGAGTAGGTCTCTCATGTGAGGACACAGCAAGGCATCTATCTGCAAACCAGGAAGAGGGCCCCTCACCAGGAAGTGCATTAGCTAGTGCCTTGATCTTGAATGGAATTCCCAGCCTCCAGAGCTGTGAGAAGAGTTGCTGTTGTTTAAGCCATTCGGTTAATGGTGTTTTGTTACAGCAACCTGAGCTAAGACACAGGGCTTGGAAACGTATTTAATTTTCTAAACATATCTAATGTTTAGGGTGAGTGTTGAATTATTTCCTCTGAAGATAGACATCTGTCTGTAAAATATGTTACTCTAGTCAACAGTGGAATATATTTTCCATCACACCCCCCCGCCAATAGATATATTTTGGGAGTCGGAAGTCAAAAAAAAACAAACAAACAAACCAAAAAAACATGTAATTTAGGTTATCAAGTTTGGTTTCTTAATTTAATTAAATCTACTACAGTTAATCTTCTATTTCTCATTAACCTTACAGGAAAATAATCAGACTTCATACAATTTAAGTATAACTTGTATAAAATCCAAGTAAAACAGGAATTTTGGTGAAGCAAGGTATGGAAAATATGTATGTCTTAAAGATACAATGTATGAAAAACAGTCTGTTATGTTTAGAGTTTTGGGGGTATGTGCAATTATTTCATGTAATGGAATTTTATCAAATAAAAGGTATTTTTCCACCGGAATACTTCCTGCGTTGTATTTACTGCAGCTGAATCCACAGCCTGTCTTTTCTCATGTCACACTAGAATGCTGTACTTCACATTTTCTTCTTTTTAATGGGAAAGATTCCAAGGATGTCTCTTCTTTCTGAGTATAGATGACTATAGGTAAAATACATACCTAACGTGGAGAAAGAAGTTGCAAAGGTAAGCAAGGTTATCTATTTCTCTGGAAGGAACAATGATTTTAAAATACAGAGTGCTGCCCGAATTCCAGGGAGAAGACACTCTCAAGGGAGATGTGAAGAAGGAATGCTTAAGGAAGTATCCAGATTTTATGCAGAAAGAGAGGTAAATCAAACTCTTTCTGTCCTGCTTTTAAAGCAAGCAATTGTCTTTCCTTTCTTTAGGGTAGCTCTTTCCATCTCTAAAGACTCACATTTTTGTCTTTTCTATGTGTTGTTTTTGTTTCATATCCGTTACCTTCTAGAGATAATCATTATTTTGGAGATTTGTGATGGTTAGAGGTGGGAAAACAAAAATTTAATAATCAAAGTTTTTTTCCCCAATTGTCTGGAAAACCATTAACTTTAATGTTCAAATTTATTCAAGGGCAAGTTTTTGTTTCATACATTTGTCTTGAGTTTCTAACACCGACTCCCATTTGCCTGATAGGAAGGGCCAGTGTGAAAAGCCAAACAAGAAACAAAATGGAAAAATCAGAAATAGCCAATTCTTCTTAGTTTGACATCTAGGCTTTATTTGTAGATACCTGTGCACATGGTCAAAACTTCTATATCTTACACACAGTGCAGCTGTATTTTGATGGTAAAATTGTTCCTGTTTGTACAGTGAAAGTGAAACATGATTGATCCCATCATGTCCTGCAAAAAGCATTATAACCATTATAACCTCCAGGTGCTCTACTAACAAGATCTAGTTCATCATGTCAGGCTTCCTCTTTGGTCTCTCCCATGTTTACCAACCTGTATATTAAGGTAGATGGCAAGCACTAACCAAAAAGCATAAGAAAAATGCAAAAACAAGACCAAAAAAGCCACTTACCTATAAAGAGCATCATGAGATATATTTTCAGCACATATGGGAAATAGATGGATAAGTCAAAGGGCAGCTCGGTGGAATAAGTGCCAAATGATTCAAAATAGGGCAGCGATTGATAGATGGCAAATGCTGTTAAAAAAAAAAAAAAAAGGCATCATGAAGGTTTTCCTCAAGTTGTTACAGGGATGTATATGTATGTTTTCATAGTTGTAGGACATTTGAATTTGTTAATGATAGTTTTGTAATAGTTGCTAAATCTTTTTGCTAAACCAAGTTTAATATAGAAATCTGCTAAAAGATTAAGTTGGCAAGGTGCTTACAGCAGCATGACATGTTGAATGTTCATCCATGGTATACTTTATCATGCCTACAGGGGAAGAATTTACAATGTTTCTTAAAATGTTACCTCAAAATACATTTGTCTGCCTAGCCGCAAATGGGGGTGCTAGACAAATGAACTTGGAAAATGGTGCATATATTTTCCTCTTAGAGTTTCAAAACACATGTTAACACAGTAGAGGTTTTGAGACATTCTGCAATTAAAAAAAAAAAAAAAAAAAAAAAAACACCCAACACTTCCTCAGGCTAACTAGCCTTAGAATATGTGCTTCTTCCTCCTTAATCATGAGTAGTACTTAATAAATATTTTGAAGAACTCTGAGAAATACTGGCCTAAATTATTTTGAGGGAGGGTGCTGGTGTCAGGTAAAAAAAAGATGAAGTTTCAGTAAAATTGTATCCCATGTATAGATATTTTTGGTAACATTACATGGAATGAAATGGTAACATGCTAACAATATGTCAGATGTTATTAGGGTAAGCTGGGAATGGTGCACTATTTTTAAACTGTATCCCATGTATAGATATTTTTGGTAACATTTTATGGGATGAAATGGTAATATGCTAATGTTCTGTCAGATGTTATCATTAGGGTACATGAGAATGGTGCACTGTTTTTGCAATTTCTTATGAGTCAAAATTTTAAAAAGGGAAAAACGAAGAAAAGGTAGGAGCTCACAACTATTAGAGCTGAGCAGAGTTATCAGTAGCATCCGTGCAGGATCTGCAACTGACACCAACCATACAGTTTAAGATGAACACAGGCTGCCCCTGTGTGTCTTCAGCATTTGATCAGTACAGTTAGTTGATTTGGTTATTTACATAAACTTTTTGTCTTATATTTGTCAGGTGGGAAATTACAGTTATTAAAAATTATTTATCAAAAGTTTTAGGTTTATTCAACTGCACAGTTTTTTACTTTGGGACATCCAACATATACAGAAACATATAAAGATAAAATTACAATCATCTGTACTCCACCACCCAGAGTTAATTACTGACGTTTTTGTCAGATATACCTCTAGACTATTTTCTGCACATACCTTATTTTGTAATTGCAAGAAGAGGTTAATGAAGCTAATAAAAGAATAAGGATGTATGGCAACCATATAAAAACTTGGCTTTCCTAGAAATGAAAAGTCTTAGAATTATGGAATAAGGACATGCACCAAGATGGCCAATAAGAGGCAACACTGGAATGCAGCTCCCAGCGAATGAGACGCAGAGGGCTAGAGGACTTCACGATTCCAAGCAAGATGCCAGGTTTGTTTTGGTGGCAGTGGTAGGACTCTGAAAATAGCCCAGGGTCAGAGCAGCCAGGGAGGGTGAACTGAGACAGGGCGAGGTATGTCCCCACCTGGAATGTGCAGCAAGCTTGGAGGGTTGGGGACTTCACCCCCTCGATGCTCCAATTAGGATCCTGTGCTTCCCTCATCCCTCCTGCAACCTACGGTCCACTAGAGCCCTGCCAGACTGAGGGGCAGTGTGGGTTGTCAATGCAAATCTGAGCGATGGCACAGTTGTCGGCATGGACCGGGCGGAAGTTTGGATTAACGCCAGCAGGACAGAACTACTCGTCCCACAAAAGAGGCAGAGTTGAAAGCAGCGAAACAGGCCATAAGGCCTGGCAGGCCCCACCCCCACAAAACTCAAACTGAAGCCCACCCGCTAGAGAGCTTCTCAACGAATACTCCAGTTTGACCCCAACCAGGAAGATTGAGTTTGGAGAAGGAGAGAACCATTTGGAAGGCAGGGCTATTCTCACCAGCATAAACAAATTCCAGGAGAAGACCACCCACCCAGCAACTTGAATGAATCTGAGGCAGCCCAGCAGTGCCTCTGCAGGCCAAAAAAGATATAGCTCCAACCTCAACAGAAAGGACATCCACTCAGAGAGTCCTCCAGAAATCATCAACTTCAAAGATCAAAGGGAGATAAATCCACAAAGATGGGAAGAAACCAGCACAAAAAGGACGAAACCTTCAAAGACCAGAACACCTCTTCTCCTCCCAGGGATCACAATTCCACACCATCAAGGGAACAATACAAGACAGAGAATGAGTTTGAAATTTGACAGAAGCAGGCTTCAGAAGGTAGGTAATAACAAACTTCTCTGAGTTAAAAGACCATGTTCTAACCCAATGCAAAGAAACTAAGAACCTTGCAAAAAGGTTAGACAAAACACCAACTAGAATAACCAGCTTAGAGAAGAACATAAATGACTTGATGGAGCTGAAAAACAGCATAAGAACTTCACAAGGCATACACAAGTTTCAACAGCCAAATTGATCAAGCAGAAGAAAGGCTATCAAAGATTGAAGATCAGATCAATGAAATAAAATGAGAAGGCAAGATTAGAGAAAAAAAGAGTGAAAAGAAACTAACAAAGCCTCCAAAGACTATGGGATTATGTGAAAAGACCTAATCTACACTTGATCAGTGTACTTGAATGTGACGGGGAAAATGAATCCGAGCTGGAAAACACTCTTCAGGGTATTATCCAGGAGAACTTTCCCAACCTAACAAGGCAGGCCAACATTCAAATACAAGAAATACAGAGAACACCACAAAGATACTTCTGAAGAAGAGCAACCCAAAGGCACATAATTGTCAGATTCACCAGGGTTGAAATGAAGGAAAAATTCCTAAGGGCAGCCAGAGAGAAAGGTTGAGTCACCCACAAAGAAAAGACTATCAGACTCAGAATAGATCTCTCAGCAGAAACCCTAAAAGCTAGAAGGGAGTAGGGGCCAATATTAAACATCCTTAAAGAACTTTCAACCCAGAATTTCATATCCAGCCAAACTAAGCTTCTTAGGGAAGGAGAAATAAAATCCTTTATGGACAAGCAACTGCTCAGATATTTTGTTGCTACAAGACCTGCCTTACAAGAGCTCCTGAAGGAAGTACTAAACATGGAAAGGAACAACTAGTACCAGCCACTGCAAAAATGTACCAAATGATAAAGAAAAACAAAGCAATAAGGAAGCACATCAACTAATGGGAAAAACAACCAACCAGTAACAAAATGGCAGGATCAAATTCAAACATAACAATATTAATGTTGAATGTAAATGGCCTAAATGCCCCAATCAAAAGACACAGACTGGCAAACTGGATAAAAAGTCAAGACGCATCAGTGTGCTGTATCCAGGAAACCCACCTCATGTGCAAAGACTCACATAGACTCAAAATAAAGGGATGGAGGAAGATTTACCAAGCAAATGGAGAGAAAAAAAAAAAATCAGGGATATCAATCCTAGTTTCCAATAAAACAGACTTTAAACCATTTGAGAAGCAAGGAGAGATCTAAAATTGACACCCTATCATCAAAATTGAAAGAGCTAGAGGAGCAAGATCAAAAAAACTCAAAACCTAGCAGAAGACAAGAAATAACTAAGATCAGAGCAGAACTGAAGGAGACAGAGACACAAAAAACTCTTCAAAAAAAAAAAACAATAAATCCAGGAGCTGGTTTTTTGAAAAGATCAACAAAATAGACTACTAGCCAGATTAATAGAAAAGAGAGAATAATCAAATAGATGCAATAAAAAATGATAAAGGGGATATCACCACAGATTCCACAGAAATTAAAACCATCATCAGAGATTATTACAAATAACTCTATGCACATAAACTAGTAAACCTGGAAGAAATGGATAAATTCTTTGACACTTGCATCCAACCAAGCCTAAACCAGGAAGAAGTTGAAACACTGAATAGATCAATAACAAGGTCTGAGGTTGAGGCAGCAATTAAGAGCCTACCACCCAAAAAAAGCCCAGGTCCAGATGGGTCCACAGCCGAACTCTACCAGACATACAAAGAGGAGCTGGTACCATTCCTTCTGAAACTATTCCAAACAATCCAAAAAGAGGGAATCCTTCCCAAATCATTTTATGAGACCAACATCATCCTGATTCCAAAACCCGGCAGAGACTCAACAAGAAAAGAAAACTTCAGGCCAATAACCATGATGAACATAGATGCAAAAATCTTCAATTAAATACTGACAAGTCAATTGCAACAGCACATCAAAAAGCTTATCCACCATGATCAAGTAGGATTCATCCCAGGGATGCAAGGCTGGTTCAACATACACAAATCTATAAACATAATTCACCACATAAACAGAACCAAAGACAAAAACCACATGATTATCTCAATTGATGCAGAGAAGGCCTTTGACAAAATTCAACAGCCCTTTATGCTAAAAACCCTCAATAAACTAGGTATTGAAGGAACGTATCTCAAAACAATAAAAGCTATTTATGACAAACCAACAGCAAATATCATACTGAATGGGCAAAAACTGGAAGCATTCCCCTTGAAATCTGGCACTAGACAAGGATGCCCTCTCTCACCACTCCTATTCATTATAGTACTGGAAGCTCTAACCAGAGCAATCAAGCAAGAAAAAGAAATACAGGGTATTAAAATAGGAAAGGAGGAAGTCAAATTGTCTTTATTTGCAGACGACATGATTGTATATCTAGAAGACCCCATCGTCTCAGCCCCAAATCTCCTGAAACTGATAAGCAAGTTCAGCAAAGTCTCAGGATACAAAATGTGCAAAAATCACAAGCATGCCTATACACAAATAACGAACTTAAAGAGAGCCAAATCAAGAACAAACTTCCATTCACAATTGCCACAAAGAGAATAAAATACCTAGGAATACAACTAACAAGGAACATAAAGGACCTCTTCAAGGAGAACACTACAAGCCACTGCTCAAAGAAATAAGAGAGGACACAAACAGATGGAGAAACATTCCATGTTCGTGGTTA